CAGGGCTAAGCTTAGGGTGAGGCAAATGAGGCAAATGAGGCGCCTAGGACACAAAATTTCAGGAGCTAATCACTCCCTCTGAGGGTTGTGCAGGTTTATGACTCTTAGCGCGGTGCCTCCCTAACCTGTGTGCCCTTGCTGCATCATGGGCCTCACCTCAGTCCAGGTTCTGCTGAGCCCCTGCCTGGCACCTCTCCCCTGACAGACAGAGAGAGAGAGAGAGAGAGAGAGAGAGAGAGAGAGAGAGAGAGAGAGAAAGACCTGTTTGAAATGAGGAGAAACTCTACCTCTTTCAAAATGTAGCCTTCACATCTGCTTCCTAATACCAAGTATGTTCCTCTTAGAGATCAATGGGTTACTGAAGACTTAAACAACCAAGTGTAAATCATAATTTAGCAACCCCTTCTTTTGTAATAAAGAGGAGGCTGTGAGAAACTCTTGGATTCCTAAAGAGAAAGGGGGAGGTGTGAAGACAATAGTTCACAAAGGTGGCAGCAAAACTCCCCATGACTATAATTTGCTTACATTGTGGTTTGCTGGCCCCAGGGCAGGGTCAATCAGGTGTGGCAACAGAGGATTTCTGACACATTTGCAGAGTTGTGCTTTCTTTTAACATAATAACTCTTCATAGACTCAGAAATCTATCTTGTAGAAGGCAAACAGTAGTTTCTATTCATCGATTTATTTATAGAAAACTTTTTCAGGAAGCACCATTACCTGATAATTTGGATATTGGTCAAAATTTAGGTGTATATTTTTCAAAAAATACTTTATCAACCAATTAAATGAAACAATGATCGCTGGCCAATGTTCATAAAATTAAAAATATTGTTTTCAGGAATATTAAGAACACTTTAATTTTTAAAAACGGTATCTAATTTTTTTTAATTTATTTTTTTTATTAGTTTCACGTGTACAAAAGTGCAACAGTTATACTTTTTACCCCTCAAAGTGATAACCCCTCTCCCCCAAAAAACAGTATCTATTAATATATGATGATTAACCTCTCCATTTGCCAGCATGGTAAACAAATGAATGTGTGTATATGAGTGTGTGTGTGTGTGTGTGTGTTTGTTTAAAATAAACTGTCTTTTATAATATTCTACAATTCAGATTGTTTCAAATGCATGTATGTTTCAAAATCTGGGGATCTTTTTAATTTTGTCTTGATCTATAATGTTTAAAATATGTAAACACGGCTACTATGTAGTGTTAATATTCTTTAATACATTTTTAGATATAGCTCTTACAAGGACAGTATTCAAATAATACATATCAGTGGAAAACTGTTACTTATGTTCTGCTATCTGTTCTCCCCCTTCCACTCTGATACAGTTGGCATATGGCTACTCAGCTAAAGACCATTTTTCTAACTCCCTTCTGGTTAGATGTGGCCACATGAGTAAGTTCCAGTCGCTGGAATGTGAGCAAAATGCCTTACCCTTAAAGTAACTGGGTATCTGTTCATCTAGTCTCTTTCCCTGTCCATGATGGCTGGCAAATAATGACAACTGGAAGAATCTCTTTGGGTTCAGGAATTTCACATGCTGACAAAGAAGAGCCAACATGCTGACCCTAAAATGTTCACCTCTAGACTGTGACACGGGAGAAAAACGCATGGTTGACTTATCTCTTTGTTACACTGGCTCAGCCTATACTCCAAATAATACAACAAAAGAATGACAATTGCTGAGTTCTGATTACAGATGGATACATATTTTATATGGATTATGACATCAATCTCAACAACTCAATGAAATGAAACATCTTGGCCAGACCACAAAGTTATCAACTGGAAGAAAATCAGTATATTTTCTTCAGGTGGAAGACCATAAAGACAAAGTCAAGAAAAACAACTTCCTGTACCATTCTTAGTAATTCTTTCAATAGATAAACACACAAAACCATTTCTGTGCATATCAATGATAATGGAAGGTTCTAAACTCTACATGTAAATTTACATTTTACAGTTTCCTTCTATGCTTTCTTTCTTCAAAGAAATTCAAATAGAAATATTCAGGACTGGATAACTGGTAGCAAAGTTTTGGCTTCTTTTAATTTATGTATTTTATAAAAACATCAGGGGCATAACCAGATATGTTAACCTGGTACCTAATCAGGGGCCTGCTTACTTTCTCAAAATACAAGTAGCAATAGAAAAAGGTAAAATAGTAACATATATTCTAAAGCATAACAAGATTATTCTTTTTAACTTTGGAGTGACACCCAATTTCATAGTTCAATAGCATAGAACAAAAACGTAACCCTGCAATTGATTCATGCATATTAAATATGATGTTCACTTCACAAGGTTGTCCTGAGAAATAATAAGATAGTGAAGGTGAAGGGCTTAGTACAATGCTTGAACTAATGAAAAACAAATGAAGTCCTTCAGTTGTATTTAAAAGGTTCAATATATTAAATACACCAAGAAAAATTTTAACACATCATCTCTTTCCACTAATTTTATTTCTTTTCTTCCGGCAATTATTTCATCTACCTTGTGGTTGAGCACATGCAATTAATGGACATGTTATAGTCCAATAAATGATTAGATAATGGAATAATTCACTAGGACATATCTTAAAACATGAATGTATCAGGGTAATAGTACTATTTAAGCCTATTCACGCTTGATCTTTACAGAAGTTAGGCAGGTAACGTGGGCAAGATCTCTCATTTATAAAGCTAAAATATTGAATTCATGCAATAATATTTATCAACTTTCCTTGAGTTAATATTTTATGATGCCATAAAGCAATTTTCATCAATTGGAAAGATGTCTTATTTTAGCTATGTTGCCTCATTACAGCTGCTTCTGAACCATCATGTAAAATGCTAGTTTTCTGCTGTGAAGCCTGTAAAAACAATTGCATTAAATAATTTCGGGTGAATCATCATTTCCACAATAATGAATTTCAATCGAGGAACCTGTTAAATTCCTCCATTTATTCAATTTTCAGTCCTCGCCATGTATCCAACACCCCCAATCTCAGCTTCAAGTTCACTCTCAACTCTGGCATCCTTCAGTCAGTCTCTGGCTGTAAGTTCCCATGGCCAAAAAGAAACGTGTCACTTGGCCCCACCATGAACCTTGTCTCTAGGAAAAGGAGAGCAGCATATGGATCATTTATCTCTGTAAAATGACGTTCTTCATGTTCCCTAACATTTAAATTATTTTTCTAATAATGAAGTCTGTTCTCTCTCCCTTCTTCGTTGCTTAATATAGAATTCTTTTAATAGTATACTTTTCTGTCACTGTAATTAAGTACTTGTCTTATAAACAAACAAAAAAATCATCGTGGGTATTTTCTTTCAACCTCTCCTTTCTATTCTGTTTTCCTAATTCAGACTCGGCCATTTACTTATTTAACAATATTTATACTGTTCTTAGTAATCTATACATCACAAAGCATAGTGGAAATCAGGTGAGATGTCTTTTGCTTAATGATTCACTGCAAAAAGCAGATTCAGCAAGAAGGGGTTCACATATTTACACCAAAAGTAAAATTAGGTCAGCCAAGAAGGTAGTTTTTGAGGCTGAAGAAACAATGGAGGAGTGAAGGAGAGCTCCCAGGGGCAGTTTATTTTTAATCTCAATCTGTCAATAAAGAGAGTAATATAACTTCTAACCAGAATTTGTCCATTCTCTTTACATTTTTTCTCATTTCATAAACACCATCACTTTCATAAAAGCTCACTTATATCTTACACATTTTCATATTCTTATTAACTTTCCCACAATAAATCATTGTGGATGGCAAGTACCAGTTTAAAGGACCTTTCAGGAAACTTTGTACCCAATAATAATGGATAGTTTTGATTAGCAACATGTCAGTTCTCTAAGAAGAGGAACGGTGTCTCTGTCAACCCTTGGTAGACTGCACAGTTTTGGGACATACTATGTGTTGACTAGAATTAAATTTGATCATTGTTATTCACAAGGAACACCTTTTATTTCCAAATATATTCTGTATCTCACAGATATTTGAGTTTACTCAACATGCTCTTAGATTGAAACCTACAACTGTTTTTACATAGAGTTTCTGGAATAATTTTTTTAAGGTACACATTTGGTTAATCAGGTTTCCTTATGAATTTCTATTAATGTATAAAGTAACTATGAATTCTAGTTTCTCCCAGAGAGAAATGTTCACATATAAATATTCATATATCACATATTAAATCGCTTTTATGCCATTTCATCTCATTAACCCATCATATTTTTGGAAAATAAAAGGCTTCATTACATCACTAAGAATGCAAGATGAAAGTACTTTCAAATTGTTATATTACTTACATTGAAATGGAAGAAGTGAGGCTCTAAAGAAATGACATTTCATTTTTAATTAATCTTACAGAAACTATATTGCAAATGTTCTTACTCAAGTGAAATAATCTATTTAAGATGCTATATAAATATTTATATTTTGCTATCATTTTCAAAAATCATTTAAAAGTGACTTTCATAATCATTTCATAAATCATAAGAAAAGCCATATTTTACAATGACTCCTATTCTAGCACCAAAATCTTTATTACCTATCTCAGTGACTCACTCTAGTCTCCAGACATGGCTATAATCACTTTCCAACTCCTTTTAAAAATAAAATCTATATTCAAAGGATGAAGAAGTGTTCCCACTGAGGATATTCAAAAGAATCCATCACAGTACTTAAAGTCACCACTATGTGAGAGATTATAAAACAGCCTGAAGAACATCCCAATTTAACATTTAGGGGTGTCTGTACCACATGGACTCATCTAAGTGAGGGCTGTATGTAAACTATAAAGTGTGGTGAGAAAACTTTATTAATTGTTAAGGATGGTGTTTCTTTTTCACAATAACTAGCGGTACCAAGGGTCTCTCTCAGAATTTCACTACCAGATCCACATGAGAAATCATATCCTAGTTATAATACAGAAGCATAACTTCTTAGAAGATAGAACATTGAAATGAAAGGAAAAAAAATTAACAAGTTTATTTGGGTTCTACTCACATCAACAAGCTGACTGACGCCACTTGCTGTTTTCGCCAGTGTGACAAGGTCTTCTTGCATCTTATCAACCCATGACTTGATACTGCAGAAATTAGAAAGATAATATTCTATCACATCTCTGACAAATTAAGGCCACAGCCATTTTGTATCTATTATGCTGCAAATAATTAATTAAACTGCCTTTAAATCTTTCTTCTCCCTCTTAGCTCTCATTATGTCCACCTTCCCATTCCACTTTCAAATTCCAAACCCAATGAATCATTAGTATAAAACCTCTTCGAATGCTGAAATACCATCAAATCAAAGAGAGAAAAATGACACAGATGTCTTGTCCAATATAAGGCTAAACATTTGCTTATTTTTTATGAAAATTCCATTTAAAATTGGTACACTGAATATTCTAAACTAAACTTTATTCTTTCGCTTGCAAGTCTTCTGAATATAAAACTAAGGGTGTGTTAAGTGTAGAATAGTTTTTAAAATGCAACAAAATATGAAAAATATTTTTAAATGTCTCTTACTTTCATTACCCAGGGATAACCACTCAACATTTGATGTATTTCCATTTAGTCTCTTAAAATTATTTCACATCGTTGAAAGCATATTATGTAAAATTTATGTGGGTTTTTTTCCTGAGGTCATATGATAAATACTCCCACGCTATTACATGTACCTTATAAACATTTTATTTTAATGGCCACTTAGTATTTCATTACGTCTACATTTCATAATATACTTGACCATCCTTGAAAAAAAATATTTAGGATATCATCATCTTTTAACCATTACAATTTACACTTCAACAAATAGCTTAGTGCATAAAGCTTAAGGTATTCCATTTCTATCGCTAAACTCAGATTTGGAATTACTGCATCAAAGCTTAAGTTTTAAAGGAATGGTTTTGAGCATTAAAATTATGATTGAAGGATTTAAGTTCAAATCCTTTTCAGATATATACTTCAGAATAATGCAATGGAGACCTTAAAACACAAGCTATGGATGTTGGGACATTTTAGAAAAACCTAAATCAATGGCCTATCTTACCTTTTCCAGGCATTAGAGACATTATTAACTACTATACAATTTTCCCCAGTTAAATCAATATATTTAACTTACAATCCTTCCATGTATTCAATTTATTCATCCTGTTATAAAAAGTGTATAGTCTTTTCTGCCCATGTGCATATAAGAAAGCACTGGTAAGGGCTGGCCGAGTGGCGCGTTGGTTAGGAATTGGCTTGGGACGCCAGCTCTGAGCAGCAGGGCCCTGGTTCAGATCCCACAGTGATGCTGTGCCCTCAATAGCTAAGATGGTGAACAACAGCTCAACCTGGAGCTGGGCTGCCTTGAGTCGCCGGTGACAGCATAGGCTGCAGTGGGGCTGGCCGGCAGCAGTTGTGAGCTTTTGTGACCTGCCGTGAGCTACCATGAGCAGCCGTCCAATAGCCGGCAAGTGACTGCCTCACCCGAGAAGAGTGCAATGATACTAGCAACATGGGCCAGTGAAGCAACGTCCTCCACAACTAGATTGAAGAACAAAAGGAGAGAACTTGTCTGTTCCCCTTCCCCAATTCCCCAATAAAACCTCTAAAAAAAAAAAAGAAAGCACTGGTAAGAAGGATAGATGATTTATTTAAATTGGAAATTCTCTGTATATCAATGTGAGATGTTCAACTGTCTGTTGCTTCTTTATCCAACTTCTTGAAATTTATTAATACTAAACATTTTCCCTCCTTTAATAGACCACGTCCGAGAGTGATGCAGAATAGTGGTGTTTTATTTTTTAAAAGTGGGGATCCAAGATGGCAGAGTAGATAAATGCTGTGCTTACCTCCTCCCATGGCCACATAAATTTATAAGTAAATTATAGAACAATCACCTGGAGAAACATCTCAGTCTAGCTGAACAGAAGTCCTATAACTAAGGATACAAAGAAGAAGCCATGTCACGACTGGTAGGAGGGACAGTGAGGCAGAATGGGCCAGCCCCAAACCTCAGTGTGGTGGGTAAGAACCAGGAAGGATATCTCGGCCACGGATGGCCCACTTGGAGAAACAAGGCACCTCAGCCCCACACTGGGCTCCCCAGCCGAGTATCAGTGCAGGGAAGAGGAGCCCCCACAACATCAGCCTGTGACGAACAGTGGGTACTGTGACTATCAGGTGGGAGAGAATGCTGTGGGAAACCCAGGTGTACTTTTAAAGGGCCAGGGCACAGGCTCATTCACTGGAAGGCACTAACCCTGGGATACAACAGAGGGATGGTGACTAAGGAGGCACCATAGAGTACAAAGAGAGACTAACTTGTATGGATTCAGGGGAAGGAATAGACAGACAGTCGCCATTTTCCCTGTGTAGAACCTATCTCTCATGCAGCCGGCAGGTGGGTGCCATCTTTCCTGTGTTGAGCCCTCACACATACGGTCAAATCTGAATCTGATTGGACTGGAGAGTTCCTCTCACTCCACCATGGTGACTCACCAAACTCACCCAATGCTGGAGGCACTTTCTGCAACCCATAGCCAACCCCCACCCAGCACACTCCAGGAGGCTTTTTCAGCAGCATACAGCGGGCCTCAACTTGTGTGCCCTGAGAGGTACTTTTGAAGCCAGAAGCCAGCCCCACACATGCTGTGCTCTTTCAAGGACAACTCTCAGGGGTCCATGAGCCCCAGGCAGGCAGCAGCTAGCCTCGGTGTGCTCTAAGACTTCTACTGAGTAGCTCCAAGTGCATCACTGGCACCAAACCAGAACCTACATTAACCTAGTGAATATCACTCGTCCCACCCTGGTAACTCCCTGAGACCCTGCCTCACCCAACCCAGACACTACACAAGGCTCTATCAATTCCTGAACCTTAAGGGAGGCAGAAGGCAGCAGCAGGCCTCGGGGTGCCCTAGGATTTTGCTGAGCTACCTCAGGCCTGGTACTGGTGGCAGCCAAGCTCACTTCACAGCATGGCCTCTCCCATGCACCTCCAAGTGAAGCACAGACAGCAACCAACTGAAGATTACTTTCTAGATCCTACCAGACAGTCCCCAGTGAAATACAGTCAATGGCTGACCTTGACCAGCATCAGAGCATCTCCTGAAAGGGCCCTCACTGAACATTACCAGAGGTCAGCTTTAGACCACAACAGAGCACCACCCAACTAGCCCCAAAAGCGGCATACACAAAGGACAGTCTAAGTGGGCACCAGAGCCCACTGGGGTGAATCCCATTCCATGGAGTAAACCCCCTGCACAATAGCCCATAAGCTGTGGATGTGGCCAAACCCCACAGCCAGTCAGCCTGAGGGTCAGTCCCATGCAGTAACATGCCAATAGCAATGAAGGCTCAACTTTAACAGGAGAGCACAAACAACCCACACACGGACATACCTGGAGGACCTAGTGCAGGTGACCAGACAGACTGTACAACTGGATCTTACAGGACACCAACTAAATTAAATGCCCCCAGGCCAAGACTGGGAGATGCAACAGATCTAACTAACACATAGAAGCAAACACAGAGAGGCAGTCAAAATGAGGAAACAAAGAAATATGTACCAAATGAAAGAACAAGAGAAAACTCCAGAACAGGAGCTAAACTAAATGGAGGTAAACAACATACCAAATGCAGAATTCAAAACAATGGTCATAAGGATGCTCAAAGAACTTAGTGAGACCTTCAACAAAGAGATAACAAGCATTAAAAAAGACATACAAATCGTAAAAAAGAAACAGTAAGAATTGAAGAATACAATAACTGAAATGAAGAACGCACTAGAAGAAATTGCCAGCAGACTAGATGAAGCAAAGGATCAAATCAGTGATTTGGAAGACAAGATAGCAGGAAAACCCAATTGGAACAGCAAAAAGAAAAAAAAACACATTTTTTCAAATGAGGATAATTTAAGGGGCCTGTGGGACAACATCAAGCATAACAACATTCACATCATAGGGGCACCAGAAGGATAAGACAGAGAGCAAGGGATTGAGAATGTATATGAAGAAATAATGACTGGAAACTTTCCTAACCTGGTGAAGGTAATAGACATACAAGTACAGGAAGTGTAGAAAGACTCAAACAAGATGAACCCAATGAGGTCTACAACACAAGATATTATAATTAAAGTGGCAAAGTTTAAAGACAAAGAGAGAATCCTAAAGGAAGCATGAGAAAGACAACTAGTTACTTAAAAGGGAGTTCCCGTAAGATTGTAAATTGATTTCTCAACAGAAAATTTGCAGGCAAAAAGGGACTGGCACAAAATATTCAAAGTGATGAAAAGCAAGGACCTACAACCAAGATTATTCTAATAAGCAAGCCTATCATTTAAAATTGAAGGAGAGATAAAGAGCTTCCCAGACAAGAAAAAGCTAAAGGAGTTCATCACCACCAAGCAAGTATAACAAGAAATGTTAAAGGGACTTCTTTAAGAAGAAGGGAGCAAAAAATTCCAAACACAAATAATAAAACAGCAATAATCATGTACCTATCAATAACCACATTAAATGTAAATCGATTACATGCTCTGATCAAAAGACATAGTATAGCTGAATGGGTAAGAAAACATATGCTATCTACAAGAAACCCACTTCAGTCTGTGAAAACACAGACTAAAAGTAAAGGGATGGAAAAAGATATTTCATGAAAATGGAAATGAAGACAAAGCTGGGGTAGCAATCTTTATATCAGATAAAAAACAAAACACTTTAAAACCAAGACTGTAATAAGAGACAAAGAGGAACATTACATAATGATAAAGGAATCAATACAACAAGAGGATATAACCCTTGTAAACATTTATGCACCTAACATAGGAGCACCTAAATATATAAAGCAATATTGTGCAACATAGGAGGGGACTTTAATACCCTATTGACACCAACGGACAGATTTCCCAGACAGAAAATCAACAAGAGCAACATTAAATGGCACACTAGACCAGATGGATTCAATTAAAATTTTTAGAATATTTCACCCCAAAACAGCAGGAATGCATTATTTTCAAGTGCACGACATAAAAAGATAAACCACATGTTAGGCCACAAAACAAGTCTCAATAAATTTTAGAAGACTGAAATCATCAAGTGTTATC